TCAATATAATAGTTTTTTTTAACTTTTTATTATGCAATGCTTGTTTTCGCGCTAAAGGTTTTTGCTATTAGAAATGTTTATAAAAGTAATTAGAAAAAGTTTGAAAAGATTTATTAAAAATTTTATACTTATATAAATGTAAATATATATAATATTCTTTGATAATTCAAATAAAATAGGTAAAGTGTGAACAATCATTAGAATCAATTTCTTTAATAAAAATAAAAAACAGTAATTAGTAAACTTAATAATTTATGCATTTAATAAATTTATAATTTATGATAATTTACAAACCATTTAGCATAGTATAGTAATTTTCAAAAAATGTAATATAAATATATTTTACTTTTCAAATTTGAGTTTTTTGAGCATAGATTTTTTTTTCTTTAAGATTTTCTTTTTTTAGATAAGTTTAAATTTTTATATTTTCTTTTTATTTTCACTGCATTTTTGAAACTTCTTAAGTTGTTAAAACAAACTGCCATGGTCATGTTGTAAAAACAAAATATTTTAAGCGTGGTTAGGAATAGTATTCGATTGCATTTCTTTACGTTTTATTGGACTTGTCTACCAAACTTGAGTAATTATCGGACAAATAGTCCAGAACAAAATAGTTTGTTATTTTAAGCCCTATATATATATATATATATATATATATATATATATATATATATATATATATATATATATATATATATATATATATATATATATATATATATATATATATATATATATATATATATATATATATATATATATATATATATATATATATATTAGGGTCTGTCATAAAACAACATTTTTTGAAAATGTCTGATGAATGTGTTCTATGTAATAAATTAATACCAAATTTAAAAAATTTTTAATAAAAATTTTTTTAGGGGTCGCTCAAGACCCTTAAACATCAGATGGTTCCTTAATATTTAAAAAAACAAAATTCTTTAAAAGCATATCATGTTGGGCCTCAAAAGAAGTGCAATTTTATAAAATTTCAAAAATTACCAAAAAAATAGTAATGTAACAAATATAGATATTTTGTTGAGTTTAAAAGAACTTAAAGATCATATAAATATACTGCAGTTGGATAACACTAGAATTTGGGTCAATCTTTGTTTATTGCGAGAAAAATATGACTAACTGCAAGAATCAAATACTGAAATTATAAAAAATCAACAACAGCTGTTTCTAAACAATACAATTAACTCATCATTACTTTGAAAATTTGAAATTTGAATTTATTGAAAATTTCATGTTTCCAGTTCAATAAACTATCGTTCTTTTACTCAAAATCATTCTTAAAATAAAGAAAAAACACACTTCATTGTAGATGATATAAATGAAAAATCAAAAAACAAATTCAAAGAGAAACAATATTCTTAACCTTGCGGCTAATGAAATAAAAACCAGAAGCGAAAGAGAATAAAATCTAGTCATTGTTGGACTTGAAGAATCTTCATTAAATTCTAACCGTAAACTTGTCACAGAGTTTTTTAACGCCATAGATGTAAATGATAGCAAAAGTGTACACATCTGACATTACCAAAATAGTAAAAAACAAAAACATTGGAAATCAAACCAAGAATAAATCTTAGTGTTATTCAAGTAGTCTTTAAGAATCAAGAGCTCCAGCAAGACATTCTGAAAAAAGGAAACTATATCAGAAAGAAACTTTTCAGTGGTTAACATAAGAGAAGACTGCAGCAGAACAAGAGGCGTTCGTTAAACTAGTTCGTTAAATGCAGAAAAAAAAATACAAAATCGATAAACTGGATAAGACTTTACCAAACCAGACCTTTTGCTATATCATCCACACGGCTCAGGTACCATATGCCGCATTGACACAAATGAATCAAAAATTAATTCGAGATGTCAATGGATCAGCAAGGAACAAGCTGAAATTATTTAGTGGGCCTTCTGTAATAACACAACATATAACACCACAAGCTTCAATGCCACTAGCTCTGTCAATGTTAATGGTACCAATCCAGTCACTAGCTCCAAATACAGCTCAAGTAAAGAGGCATATACCTTCCAAATAATTTAAAATATAAACCGAGCCCGCAAGATACGAACAACATTCATTACTCAATACTGCAACTACATTCAAACACAACTATATTTGGGCTAACAACCCTTTCTCTTTAAATAGCGACAAAATACTAGAGCTCAAAGCTAGAATCAACACTCCCCCAAAAAACAAACTAAAATCAGATGTTATCTTTATAGCTGAAACGTGATTCAATGAAACATCTGACACCTCAATTGATGGATATCATTTGCACAGAAAAGACAGAGAAGCCAAGGAGGGGTGCGGTAATGTATATCAAATTTACTATTCTTGTTGTATTAACTAGTATAAAAAATTAAACGACTCATTGAGCTCATCAAACGAACATTGAGCAAATTATCAAGTTCGGTACTGAATAACTCCTCCTAGGATGTATCTATCAACCTCAAGATAATAATGATGATACCTTCATGAAAATAATTTCTTTAACCAAAGCTGCGAAATACAATCTCTAGAAACTAGGCTGTACATTCATGCTCTTGCAAAACTTTTATATAACTTTACAACTCTTATATAACTTTAGCCACACAACATACGAAGAACTTGTTGTTGATGACAGTACACTAGTTGTAGCGCATATCAACAAAAAATGGCCTAGTGACACCAAGTTTCATCAATGCTTAAGTGTGCATTTTTTTTACTCAACATTCCCAAACTATTGTAACTCAAGAAACAAAGCACCGTATTCTTGACCTTGTCATTATCGGAAAACCAAACTGAGTTAGAGACCTCAAAAAGGATGATCTGATTGGAGACACACCTAAGAGTAAAACTCATTTCCTACTCGCTGGACATTTCAAAACTATGAACTTTGAAGTACCAGCTACTTTTCATTCACGTTATATTTGGAGCAAAGCGAACTATCAAAAAATATTAGAACATATCATGGATTACGAATGGGATAAAAACTTTAACAATCATTCAGCAAACTTTAACTACCAACTAATTATAAATAAATATATGGAAACTGTGAGCAAATATATTCCAGTGACTTCTGTTCCATTCAAAACAAAAAAAGAACCTTGGACCACACCTGAAGTCAAAGAAGCGGTTTTTCATAGAGGTAATTTCTAGAGGCAAAATGTTGCTTCTGGAACTAAAACACATGAAACACTAAGGAGTAAGCATAAAATAGCCTGTAAACATGTTTTAAAGGTAATAAAAAGTTATTCAAAGATACAAACATCAGTAAGCTAGTGTTTTCAAAAATGACCCAAAGAAACTTTATGACCACATCAAACAAAAAAAAAGAAACTAGCAACTTACTTCAAGATGACAATAAAAACATTGTAACCGATGATATGCTGTAATTTCAGATATTCTAAACGATTGCTTTCATTCTGTATTCACTACTAAAAAGCTAGATTTGCTGCCAGATTTTGAATTACATACAAATGCATTTTGCACTATAGACGTAAATCTCTAATCAGCAAATTCAGTTCAAGAAAGAATAAAAAAGCTCATTGAAACCAAGTCAAAAGGTGTATGACGACATACACCCACCCTTGTGGGTGTATGACGACATACACCCACAAGTATTATGTAACTGCACCTCAGCATTTGCAATTCCATTAGCTATGATCTACCAAAAATAAATTTGTGATTCACAGGTTCCAGAACTCTTTTCCAGGGTTCTAGGGTCTTTTAATTTACCTGATCTATCTCTTTTTCAGGCTGAAATTCTGCTTTCTGATGAGGATCATACTCGCCTTAACTCTCGTTGACTTTTCCTGCTCTATTTTTCCGATATTGTAGAATGTTTAATGTTTTTATATTCACATACATATTGTAACATCTCATATAAAAAAATAAACTAAGTTAAACATTTAATTTGTGACTAACCAAGCATTTTTCACTTTCGCAAGCGCATTTTCAGTAAAACCACGGAGTTTGTTATTATTATGACCAACTTCTCCTTGATGGAATATGCAAGCATTTTAAATTTCTTTTTTAGGAACTAGATATTACGTTTTTTTGCTACTCGTCATTATTTACTTTAATAATAATAAAGAAATAAAACATGTTTTTTTAGTAAACAGTTTTTGAAAAATAAACATTTTCAAACATAAACAATGAACAGGAACAAGTTTTGTTTTTTAGATTTAGTAAATTAAAACTATTTTAGAATTTTAATACAATATTAAGAGAAAAAATGTTTATATAATGCTTATATAAGTTTTTAAGTTATTTCAAGTAAAGATTTTAAAACTTTTTAAGTTATAAAGAACAAAAGAATGTCCACTCAAAATGTTTAGTTTTCCTTTTTTTTCACATGTAGAGACCATACTACATCTTTGACTTAAACATCATATGGTTAAAAACTGCAAAGAAAGATTTAATTTCTTCACTAATCGCATCGCCAATGTATGGAATACGCTAACTTTAGATGCCATAAGTGCTGAACCAGTCAACTTGTTCAAAGATTGTGTTTACAAATTAAAATTCAATATAGATGAATGTTCAAACACACATGTCTTTTCTTTCAGCATGGAAGTGCCTGGGATAGCACTTTCTCATTAAAATATATAAATGTAATACATGCACATACAATTGATTTATGAAAGACATAAACTCAAACTCAAAACTCCTTTACTTTTAAAAAAGTTAAGAACTTTAAAAACCAACAATTTTTTTTTAAAATTTAAGTTTAATTTAATTACATTATTTAATTTAGTCTACACTAACTTCCTAGTCAGTTTGACTATTTAGCAGATGCCCTAGCCTGGTTAAAAAAAAACTAAATTTAGCCAAAACCAAGATTATTCAGTTACTAGGTGTTAACCTAACCAAAGCTCTGTATTGAACCAAAAAAAAAAAACTTAAAATTAATTAAATTTCCCTTTTAAAGGAGTATTATTATTATTTTTTTTGAATGTGTACGTTAAAAACTTTTTTGTAACACACACACACTTAATAAAATACTTTTTACCATTTCAGGTGGCAGTTGTTCAAGCACCGGAACAACGTCTTGTTTTTCAACTTTTTCACTATTTTCTTGCTCTATTTGATTAAACTTTTCACCACGAGCTTCCATAACTAATTGTCCATCAACCCATGCAAGTTCAGTGTCTCGGGCAACTGCAAACTTAAGTGAACTGACAAGTGAATCTTTTAATTTAACCTAAAAAAAATTTTTTTTTAAGCTTGATATATGTTTATATGCTACATGTGGTTTTTAAAATACTCAGTGTAACCATAGTAACTAACTAATGTGTAACTAAACTAGTTTTGAGTACCTGATAAATATGACTTTCTCTAGTTGCATCTACCATCTCATTAGTATATGGAGTATAAACCTTTGAAACATTAAATTGAGTGCTAGTTTGGCAGTAACGTGACAACGCTTCTGTTGCAGCAGGACTACCATGAATCAAAATCTATAAAAAAAATAATTTATATAGTTAAGCATTACAATTACTATAAAACTATTTATTAAATTAATTAATTACAACAAAATTATTCGACAAAAGGTGTAAGGGTTTAAAAACATCATATGAAAAAAAGTTTAATTAAAAACAACATAAAACCACCAGATTTATGTTTTATATATATGAGTGGCGTTGAACAATTCAACACCACTTATATATACATTTTAAATTTAATTTTTTATCACTGCATAACTTGTTTAAATTTCAAACTCGAAGATATTTATATATAAAATGGAAATTTTCAAGAAAAATGATATGTAACGACTTCACAAGCGGCAAGCGCTTTATTGTTTAAGGCAGTCATAACAAATGAAATTAGTTCTTTTATAATGAAAATTACTTGCGGTAATTGCACGCATAAAAAGAAATTTTGATCCTACAAACATAGAAAAACCAGATAGAGGGCAATTATTTAGAAGCAATTTATATTACCATTAAAAATTTTAATTTAATTTTTTAATGATTATTATATTTGCATAAATTGTAAAATAAAACTTTTAGTATTATTAGTTGCTTAAAATTAGATCTTCAAACATAATACATAATCGATATTACCTTTGATCGTCATCTGATTAATAAATATTTTAACTTTGCAATACTTTTATTTTTAATATTATTATTATTGTTATTACTTTTAACATTTTGTGTCACTCTATTATAATGAATTTGTCGAACTACTTTAGTTATGTTATTATATTTATTAAATATTAAGTTATTTATATTTTTATTATATTTAAATAAGAAAGTAAAATCCAAATATTATGTCGGTATTAAAAAATATTATTTTATAGGGTATATCTTATAGTAAACTAAAGATATATATATATATATATATATATATATATATATATATATATATATATATATATATATATATATATATATATATATATATATATAATATTTTACCTTCATAAGTAGTGCAAACATCATACTAATACACATACTAAATATAGTGTATATAGTCATACTGAACTTAGTAAATAAAGAATTAAAAAAATTAAATTAGTTATCAATTTTGTCTATTTAAAGTAAATTCTGGGTCACAGTGTTCTGAAAATTACCGTCCATGAGTTTAATCACACTTAAAAAAAAGTTAGATTTTATAATGAACTAGGACTTTACTGGGATTTTATAAAACTAACAGTTAGAAAAATAAATAATTGTGTTTTAAACTACTCCAGAGTTTTAAATTAAAAAAATAGTAAAACTGTAAAACTGTAAACTTAAAAGTTTTACAGTTTTACTTTTACTTGAAAATTACATTGTGGCAACATCTCCTTAAATTGTGGCAACATCTCCTTAAATTGTGGCAACATCTCCTTAAATTGTGGCAACATCTCCTTAAATTTCATCTATTACAATTATTTCCGTTTTACAAAGTCTTTTGTTTGTTAAATAGTTTTAAAATTTCGTCACCAACATGCCTGTGTAGCCGAGTGGTTAACTTGCAGAGTTCCCACTGGAACCTTTTTTTTTTGTTTTATTATTTTTTATTTTTTTGAAATACAGTAGAAAATAAATAAAGTAAAACACTTTTGAAGTTTTACAGATAATTATATTTTAAATATTATTATTAGATATTTAAATATTATATAGATATATTAGATATTTTAAATACCATTATTAAGTTACTATGATAATAAATTTAATAATAAATTTAATAATAGTACTTAATAATAATAATTAATGCTATTATTAATACTAATCTTTACTATATACTTATTTAACGTAATGGTTGTAAGGTAAATAAATTTCTTGTTGTTGTTGTTGTTGTTGTTGTTATAGATTAAAAATATCTAGTGAAAAGGAACAACTTTACAAGTCTATTTATGAAGGATATTTAAAAGAATTTGCCAAACAAACCAAAGCATAAGTCTCAAGAAGAAACAAATAAAATCTGGTCTGAAATTGAAATAAAGAGCAAAACATTCAAATTAAATTACAACAAGTGAAGAGACTGGATAAGAAAACTCCAATTTGTCAAAAGTTTTAACAAAACAAACCCTGAAACAAGATAAGTTAAAGAATGAAATTTTTATTTTACAAAAAGATATTGCATATCTTACTAAAATAAGAATTTCCAACTTGTTTTCACAAGAAGACTACCAAATACTAGAGAAAAAAGAAAAAACTTTTGGTAGAAAAACCAAGATCTTGTACTTCATCAAAAAACCACTGAACATCAAACCGTAACCAGACTAAAAAGAAAAAAAGCAATAGAAGCTTCAGATCCAGATATTAGAAAAAAGTTGTGTGAAATTTAAAAATCAGTACCAAAAAGTAAACCGCTAGCCTGTGATCAGGACAGCTTAATAAAAGCAATTGTAGATATTGCTATGAAAGGGTCTGCTTCTGATGATGGGAGAAGATCTTAAATTAATCTAAATGTAAAAATGTTAAATGATTTGGTTAAAGAATTGAAAAAGCATGGTTACAATCTCTCCAGATCAGGAGTTTACTTAAGAGTTCTTCCAAGCAGATCAATGAGCACAGAAGGAAAAAGACATGTTAAAACTGCATCTGCTCAGTTAATAAGAGCACAAAATTCTGAGCATATCATACAGACACAATTTTCCAATTCATCCATCAGTACCCTTGAAAAACTTGCGGCAGTCTTGGGTCCTAAAGAAGTGAAGTTTCACTCCTAGGATGATAAAGCCAGGGTGCCAATTGGATTAACAGCGGCAAACAAATAAGCACCAATGATAATGCATATCGAGTATAAGGTGACTTTAGCTGATCATGATTTTGTAATAGCTCCTCAACACAAACTTATTCCTTCAGCAAGTGCAGCTTTTGAAATACCCCCCCCCCCCTCTTTTTTTTTTAATAATTAAAAAAGTTTTAATTTAAAAAAAATTGTATGAATTAAGAAATATTTTTTTAAATTAGAGTCTGCATATTTTAAAGTTGATCATATCTCCTCGTCCATTATTTTATTGAACGCTTTTTGCAGATCCGCTTTCCCCTAATCTCCCCAAGAAAATTTATATGAACCCAAAACCCTTGGTTTCGGCACCAGATCCCAACTTTAAAGATATATGATATATCTAAAAAATATATATGATATATGTTAATATTTTTTATGTAATCTGGTATGTGTGCATGGCCAAGAGGTTAATGTAGCAGAGAACAGAGATCAAATCTCAGACAAGTTATAATTTCCTTTTTTTTTTTGAAAATTTGATTTAATGAAAAATAAATTTTACTTTAGGCGGAGGTACCAACTTACTAAAGAGGCACCCCTCTTTAGTAAGAATTTAGGGTGTTGAGTAGCCAGAGCCAGGATTGGCTGCTCAACACCCCAAATTATGGGGGAGGAGGGTGTAAAACAAAGTTAAAAGCTCTCTTACAAATTTAAGGAGCTTTTTTTTTAGCAATATCTTGAACTATACCTTTGACCTATACCATACCATCCCTATACCATCCATCCATACCTTACATCCTTTTATGTTGGAAAACTAGGATCTTTATTTTCTATTGGTAAATTATGGACAACAATAAAATGAATTTTTTAAAGTTGTTAATTATTTAAAACCATTTAGTTATTAAACCTCTGTCGGGCATAACCAATTTCTAACTAGGGAGGGCGCATTGCATCAAATTGATATGCATAAAAATTTACTAGTTTAATACATATATTTTTTTTAATAAACTGCTTAAATAATCTTTGAACAAATATGAAATATTTCCGACAATTAAAAATTGCATCACAATTGCTATTTTTAATAAAAGAGGTGCATTTATCAAATTGATACAAATTTCGAGTGACTATTTTAAAAAGCTAATTATATAATTAAAAAAATAAAAAAGTTTTTGAATTCTTTAAAAAGAAGTGTAACATTTACATAATTATTAATTTAATAAGTTGATCATCATATTCTAACATAATTTTGAATGTCAAAACCTGATACAGTTATTACGTAATGCCGCAATAGCTTTTTAGGTGTGTCAAACAATTAATGGCATTGTTGACAATTATACATTGTTAATCATTTATAGTGCATGTCTGGCATCTTTTTCTTTTATTTTCATTTCTTATGTTATCTTGGGATTGTTCTAAAATTTGGATTGCTCTAAAATGATGTAAACTATCGCTGAGTTCATTTTTTAAAATTATTTACAAACATTACAAAGTTTTCCCAGATTGGTGCAAGCTTATCAGTTTCTCATCTTTCTTTACAAGTTACTTGGAAGTCAAACCAAAGAAAGCGCAAAATAAATTTGAAATGTTTGATACTCATTCTAAACAAAATTTTTTCTATTCCATTCCTATCTGATCTTCCAGACTCTGCCTATTACTCCGATACAAACCAGCTAGAAATAAGAGATCTATAAATGCCTTTAATTTGACCAAATCAAGTTTTTTCACATCCCTTTCTCTTTGAAATTGGTTACTAATGGTTTCAATATACAGTACAAAATATTATTTAGAATATTGTCATAACAGACAAAAAGCAGAACAGTAAGTCATCACTAAAAAAATTGTATGAAATAAAAATGATTGACGTGTATCAATTTGATCAAACACACCCGATGCAGAGTAAACAAGTACTTGTTAATTGTGATAAATTATAAAAACAAACACTACTAAGGAATTTTTTTTAAATTAGTGATTATCTACTTTTAAATTGAAACCTCCCCCCTCCCCCTTCATAAGCTTTCATATGCTATTTAAAGAACCCCCTCCTCCTATGAGCACACACTTTATGGATGACCCCTAATAAATAAATAAGAAATAGAAATTAATTAATGTAGTTGATAATAATAGTAATTAGTTGCAATGTAATAGTAATAATTATATATAATAATAATATAGTAATTGCAATAATCAAAAAGTAAAAGGTATGTATAGAAATAAGAAGATATAGCTTAAAAAAAATCATTTTAAAAAATGGTTATTGAGTATTCTGCTTATTTTATAGATCAAAGAAATAATGAAATGTAAAGAAATCATTGAATAAAATCAAAGGAAATAATTTTCAAAACTTTTTAATTATTTGTATTTATCCTGAAACAAGAACGTTAAAAAAGTATACTTAAATTATAAAAAAATCAAGATATCAATGATTATTGATTGATTATTGATTATTTATATTAAAAAAACAAAAAATATCAAAAAAACAACAACTGAAAACTGAGAGATTTTATAAGCTTCCATTTGACCCTTACTCACTTTAATGTCAATGACCAATAGCTGTTATTGTTATTATTATTATTGTTGTTATTATTATTCATTCATACATCATGATGTCATTGGTTTTTATTTATGGATAACTATTAGTCAATTATTATTTTCAACAAATTCTGACAAATTTCAAACAAATTTCTATTCATCCAAAATAACACAAAAAATGTTTTTAAACTTATGAGGTCTAAAAAATTACATGAAAGAACTAAAAAACGTTTTTTATTGTATTAAATTGTATAAGGGATCCATAAACAATGAAAAGTTTTACTAATAAACAGAACAAAAAAGTAGTTTTCTTTCGCAGAGTCATAAGTTAAATACAAAATTTAAATTGCACATTAAGTTTAATAAAAACCGACGCTTAAAAAAGATTAAAATCTCCTACTTCTGTTTTTTAAATAAATTTAGCGTTGCATAATCTATCAAGAATTTTTAAAGGTTATTGATTTTGATGTATTCATGTTAATTTTCAAAATAAATTCACTTTTTTAAAAAACATTTATAAATTATAAAATAAATTTAAAAACAATTATACCAACTGTCTCGGTTTTACAATTGATAAAATTCGCCTCACTGATTCACCATCTGAACGCCCCTCAAAATCAATGTAAGAAATCTTACATCTACAAATAAATAAAAAATAAACTAAATAATAAATACTTGTTAGTTACTAATAACTATAACATAAATATATCTAATTTTAATAAACTTTAATAAAATTGTCAAGTTTGAACATCAATTATTGGATATATATATATATATATATATATATATATATATATATATATATATATATATATATATATATATATATATATATATATATATATATATATATATATATATATATATATATATATATAACAGAAAAACATAAATAAATTAGTTTTAACTTGAACAAACAATTCTATAGCTTCTTTTTTAAATTTCTAAAAATATTAGTGTTTGCTTGCAGTATTTCTTAATAAAAAGATACCTAACATCAACTTTGATTTTTAAAAGATAATATACCTAACATCAACTTTGACCATTTCACTAACACTTTTTGTAGGAGGTTCTTTAATTTCTAAGTAAAACATTTTATCATTTAGCAATTAATTCTATACATTCTGTACGAGTTCTATACATTCTATACATTTTATCATTTAGCAATTAATTCTATACATTCTGAAAAAAAAATTCAAAATAGAAATAAAAACTTTATAACTTCCCAATAAAGTTCAAATGTCAATAGAATTACAACAAATAAAGAAAAAAATATTTTTACTAAGTAAATCTAAATAATCATCATCATCATAATAATAATAAAGATAATAATAATAAAAAATAGAAAAAAGTTGAAAAGTATAATTACATTTGTAATTGTTAATAAAAAGTATTAAAACAGATACATCTTTGGGTTCAGCTTGATATTTCTTTGGATTCAAATTTATTCAGACAAGTTGTACAATAAAATATTTTGATAGTAATTTTTTATTTAAAATTATTATTCAAATTTCTTTATTTAAAATTATGGTTATGTAAAATTATGATTATGTAAAATGCATGAACTATAATTGAATGAAAAAAAAATTAAATTTTTCGCAAAGTTGTTAAAAAGTTTGCAAGTATGTGAACTTGAAAATGTATATTCATATATTTTTAAAGTTCACACTCATGGCAGGGACAAAGTTCAGCCTATGGCAGGGATGAGATGTATTTTAACACTGCTGGTATAAAATGGTGTCCAAAAACTTATTTACAACTTTATTTAAAGTAAAATAAAAATGTTTCTGCCTCAAATGGAGTACATAACAAATTTTCTGTTTATTTTAGCTATTATTTCTTTAATTCAATTTTATTACTTCTATTATTATTTATCTTAATTCTATTTAACTATTATTTCTTCAGAAAGTTAAATTAAAATATGATAGATTAAAAAACAAAAATTGCAGACTGTATTTTATTTAAAAGTTATCATTTGATTATTAACAAAAATATGACATTTTCACAAAGACTTAAGAAATTTGATTTGAAGACAGTAAAATGTATTAATAATTTACCAAATATCCCATGGAATTCTATGAGTGAACCATGGTTTTCCATGGAATTTCCATCGAAATTGAAATCTCATATAATTTCCGTGGTTTTTTTTTCATAGTTCATGTTGCACTATGGGTTTTACAAATGTGCATTTAAATATGTCATAGTAATTTGTAGAGTTACAATCATTTGTAACTTGAGTAAATGTTTTTTGCATTCTTCTGTTTTTCAGTATTTAATAAGATTATAAATTATGTTTTTTATAATGCATCACATTTAATATGATTTAAACTAAACATACAGACATAAACAACTAGACATACTTGCAATAGCTAGAATATGATAAATGGATGCATTTTATAATGCATCTTAATATGATATTATCAGAAATGTAGGTCTCAAGACTTAAATACCGAGACATCTCGAGACTCATATTTAACTGTCTAGGTATTGAAGCTTGGGGTCTTGGTCTTAGTCTTGGTCTTGAGTCATAATGTCTTGGTTTTGGCCTTTCCTGTCTTTACACCTCTGGATATTATCATATTATGATGCATTATAAAATGCATATATTTATCTTATTCTAGCTATTGCCAATAGCTTTGCTTATTTTGCATAACAATAGTATAGCAAGTATGCCAGGTGAATCAGTTTGATTTTTGATGTTTTTATGGTTTACTAAAAATATTTTAGTTTTAATCTACATTAGATAAGCAGTGTATTAGATAACCAGTGTATTATTAAATAAAGTAACCATAAGATAACTGTTCAAAAGATAACTAGTATTTTTTATCATTTATTTTTACATTGCCATTTTTCATATGCATTTAATAATTTTTAAAATAATCAAAATGGTGAATTAAGTTTGAATTAACTGGAAAAGATATTAGCGTAATCTTTGAAATTCAACTTGTAATGATATTTCAAGAACAACTAAGTGGAGAAGGAAAACTATGGTAATGTTTTAAAAATATAAGAAAGGAAAGGTAATTAATAAACATTTTACTTCACAGTTAAATGCATATAAAAGCAATGTTTATAAATAATACACTATTATTTATTATAGTACAATTATTTTTATTTGTTTATATTTATCTAATGTGATGTGCTCATCTTAGGTTAAAATAATTTTATTTATGCTCACATTTTTATATTTATATTTTTACGTTATTATACTTAATAAATTACAAATTTATTATATTTATTATGTTTAATTAGTAAAGTAAAAATATAATGAATTTTTGAATTTAATAGTGTGTGCATAAGTAATTTTATTTTAACTTTATCATTTTATTTAACTGCAGGTTTGACTAGCGATAGTTGTGATGTTGCTGTCTTGTTATTTAGATGTTGCTGTCTTGTTATTTATAAATTTTACCGACATACAGGTAACATTTATATATAGGCATAAATCTTTCATTTTAATTTTATTATTTTATTTAAATTACTACATTATCAGCAGTTTGACTGGTGATAAAAATGTTTTACATCTTTCAGATAGTTCGCACGATGAAGTAATTTTTTTTCAAATTACCATTTTTACAATTTACCATAAGTAATATGATTGTTGGTGTCTTGTTCTATATAAATTTTATCAACATACAGGTAACATTTATATATAGGCATAAATCTTTTTTATTTTAACTTAATCATTTTATTTAAGGTTTGACTTTTATTTTAACTTTATCATTTTATTCAAGGTTTGACTGGCATTATAAATGATGTTATACACCATGCAGATAGCTCGAACAAAATAAATGATGTTATACACCATGCAGATAGCTCGAACAAAATAAATGATGTTATACACCATGCAGATAGCTCGGACAATATAAATGATGTTATACACCATGCAGATAGCTCGAACAAAATAAATGATGTTATACACCATGCAGATAGCTCAGACAATATAAATAATGTTATACACCATGCAGATAGCTCGGACAAAGAGGAGGTAAAAATATTATAACTTTTATATACAAATAATGATTCATTGCTACTTTTTTCTATATAAATGTTACCCAACATTTGGCAACATTTATGCAGAACATTCAAAAAGTTGTCAATGCGTAATTATGCGTATTATGCAGAACATTTAAAAAGTTATGTCAATGCGTAATTATAGAGTAAATTAATGATAGATAATAATTATAAGCATAAATAAATTGGTAAATAAAGAAAATTAATTAGTATGTATATATTAATTTTATGATGTATTTTCTAAATTGGTAAAATGGACAATAATACTAACTGTGGTGAAAACAATAATGAATATCAAAATATGAATGGTAATTTGTTTGACAATTACTTGGTTCTGCAATTACAGTTGGCGGTGCAATCACTCTTATAAATAGTATTTATAAGTGAGTTGGTAAATATGAATTTTTTTTTGATTGAATATGTTGTATTGATGATTCTTTTTAATTTATTGAAATTTCCTGACAAATGTCAGGAAAATCTGTTAGAAAAAAATCTTTCACAACAATCATAGCTTCATCATTATCACTCAACACTTATTTTCAAACTTCACATTTGTTTGCATCAAAATTATTTTTTAGATTCTTAAACTTAATATTTCCTTTGCTGACCTACCAATCAATAACACTCTAAGTTCAGAAATATAAGTTTTGAGCTATTTGTCAAAAAATGTTTAATATTATTAACTAATGTGTATAAATGTTATTATGTTCATTATGAATTTAGCACTGCTTATTCAATTCAATTTTTATAAAAATTCAATTTTTACACTGAGGGTGCTTTTGATTGGCAGGGCAGTTTGATACAGACCATTCTTTAGAAGCATAATAAACAACTTTTTCTAACATACTATTATAATACCTCTTTTCATACTAACATTTATTCGGATTCGGTATTCGGGTTCTTTTTTTTTATTGTGACTTCTTTAAACAAAATGCAACTTTAAGTCAAACAAATTTGCAGAAATTGTAATATATCATAAATTAAAAAACCTATATAAACATATTTTTTTATTCAAACAATACCCTTAAATTTTATTAAAAGTTATTAAAACTTTAATCTTTTAAACATTCTTTAAAACTTTAAACATTCTTTAAAGTTACAAATGCTTAAATTTAGGCCTGATAGTTAGGCCTGATAGTTGAGCCTGATGTAATAAGTATTTAGTTTTTATGTAATAGTTTTTACATAATGTGAATAAGGTTTATAATGTTATTTATAATAGTGCCATTAAAATAATAACATATACTAATATTTTATATACATACATAAACCAAGACTAACCAACCTGATTACTCTGAAAAAAATAGTCTTAGAGAATATAATTAGTGTAAATTGTCTAATTACATTGTTTTATTTAATCGTCTAATGCCAATTTTGAGTTTAAAATCTGTAAATTTCCCTCTATTTTGAAATACCATTCATTGAACAATATACTAAGTAAATATTTTCCAGAAATTCTTTATACAACAATCTAGTAGTGCCAATATAGACTGAAACATTTTTGAACGTTTCTTTAGCTTCAATTAATGTCAAACTATGAAAAACTAACACACATGAAATTTTAATAAAAAGGGATCCCAAAGTAAACTCTGGTATCACCACTACAAGATTTCACACTTGTGTGGTTTAAAATATTAAACTCAAATGATCTTGCATCAATATGCATTTATCAAAAAATTTATTTGACTAAAAAAATGCAAATAAAAATAAAATGGTTTCATTTGTGTTTGAATTAAAAATGCACCTAATGCCTCTAAATCTTCTTTCATATCTTCAATGGTTATCTTTGGTCCTTCTTCCTCCATTAAATTATTTTCAATGATAACATAATCTTCAGGTCTAAAATTATTGTAACTTTTAAACATGATAATTAATAACAATTAGAAAAAATTGGTGACACCTAATAATTTCCTCACCTAATAATTTCACCATAATCATCCCACTTAAGCCTCTCTTCTTTAAATGGAAACATTGGATAGATTTTGGCTTGTTTAAAAAAACTGCTTTTATGCCGTAGCTTAAAGATAAATAATAATTGATATATATATATATATATATATATATATATATATATATATATATATATATATATATATATATATATATATGTATAATGCCCTAGGAATTCGAAAAATGAGGTTGGCATTTGTTGATCTTAAACTTGATGTTAAACTGATCTTAAACTGGTCGGTACCAAGTAGGCAAAATAAATATTACACAAAGGGGTTAACATAAAACATAGAAACAAGGTCAATGAATCTTTGCCAAACTGAAACACTTTTAGGTCGGCATTGTCAAATGCCAACCTTAATTCCACTGGTTATATATATACATATATATATATATATATATATATATATATATATATATATATATATATATATATATATATATATATATATATATATATATATATATATATATATATATATATATATATATATATATATATATATGTATATATATAACCAGTGGAATTAAGGTTGGCATTTGGCAATGCCGACCTAAAAGTGTTTCAGTTTGGCAAAGATTCATTGACCTTGTTTCTATGTTTTATGTTAACCCCTTTGTGTAATATTTATTTTATATATATATATATATATATATATATAAAATATATGTGTAATATTATATATTATATATTATATATTATATATATATATATATATATATACATATACATATATATATATATATATATATATATATATACATATATATATATATATATATATATATATATATATATATATATATATATATATATATATATATATATATATATATATATATATATATATATATATATACATATATAGGCATTTCCAATAAATCACTCTCGGAACATTGCATCTGTTGCATTAATTATTTTGAAAATAATGCAAATTTTAATCACCAACTTACTTTTATTTAAATGACATCAAAGTTCTGTAGCTATGGGTTATCTTCGTTACCTATTCAACGTATGGTAGCTATGGGTTGCTTCATTATAGGATAAATTAATTTTTCACACAGGGAACAGAAATGTAATTTTAATTAAAAAACAATATTTTAATGTATTATATTAAAAATAAATAATGGATCATATAGTTAATATATTATATTAAAGATAAAAAATATATCAATATCAAATTTTTAATAACAAGTTTAGTAGTAACACTTTGACTCAATAGTAATGTGTCCATGGTTATCAAAGTGTGGTTGCGATGCTAACGGTTTTAACTCACACAAGTTATGCCAGGAGAAGTCGTCTACAAATGGGTATATAAAAATGAGTTCATTTTGTTTTTTTAGAAATTTAATATGTGCCATATTATCTACAATTTCTAATACTTCAGCGAGGTATGTCTTTGCTCTACCAGCAGAACGCAATTCTACAAAGACAAATATACCTGGAGAAATAGTATTAAATTTGTACCTTTCAGATTCAGATGGAGATGATACCACATTTACCAATAATGAAGATGAATTCTTAACAATTTTTACTACTTCTGATTGGTTACAAACTGCCATAAAAGCACCATCAATATTAAAAAGAAAAGTTTTCCAGATTTTACTGTTGTCCAAACCATTCTTTTTATTTCTCCACCTATGCTACCAACTGTTCCCCCCCCCCCTTTCCATGTGATGTTGAAAAAAATGACCAACGAATCTCAACAAGAGCAGATTACAATTTGTACAAATTATTCATGGTTGTCATGACAATTTGTAATTCATGGCTGTCATAAATGAATTTTAAATTGTGATAAAAAGACCATCTGTGAAAAAGTGTAACTTACAAATACTGTAATAACAACTTAATGATAATGAATGAGTTTGATAATGAATGAGTTTGTTGAATAAATTGTTTGAAAATGAACAAGACAGCATATTTATCATGAAGTAAGTGATCGGATACAATGGCATAACTTGTTGTGTTAGTTGCTGATGAACCCAGTAAGCGGATTGAATTTTACTTTGCTACATTATGGTGTAATTCTCACTGAAATCCATCTGATTTTAGAATAATTAAAAATATAAATGGATGAATAGTTAGTTTATAATTATAACAAAAAGGTTTATACAAAATTATTAAATTTTATTACCGTACTACAAATAAAATTACAATTTTAACTACTTGTATAATCAATTCATTTTCTGATACATTTTGGTGCTTTATACACACAAAGCGTTAATAATCTGGCAATTGCTGACGCATTAATAGCAAAGATGTTAGTGGTTAAACAACCTCTAACAAAGATGTTAGTGGTTGTTCAATTTTCTGCCTATTTTCTGAGGACCATTAGTCAAAAACAAAGAGCGGTTTGTTGGAATCGTCACCAAATGAGTCATTATTGTATTACATTAGAAACATATTCATCAAATTTTGCCAACCCACAGTTTGTTTTACATTCCATAAACACGCAAGATTAGTTGTTTTGATTACACACAGACCTGTCAATTATGTCTGACATAATATTAAATTTTTTTTGGGGGGGGGGCATTTGTTAATAACCTGAAATTTTCATGGTATATGCAAAGGCAAATATCATGGGGAAGATCCTTTACTAGCTTGACATAGAATGGCCGCATATTGTAAAACTTAGATTTCCCCACTTTTAAATTAATATGCTCACTTTTAAATAGTGAATATGCTTCTCCTATGGTCATCAGCATGTGACAAACTTGTTTCTAAAAGAAAACAAAAATTGTTTACAAAAAATGAAAACCTTATTAAATTAAATGCGATTCCTACATATAAACGATGTGTCATACCTTCTCTTTTGTTTTATTAATAGCAACATCTTTGTGTCCTGGAGCCATTCTACTGATATCTTCTTGCAAATAAAAATGAAGAACTTTGCAATTAACATTTTCCAAACCGGTATAGTCAGGGCCTGATTCTGAAATATCAGAAAGTAGTCTGTTTTCACGATTACAAACTTCTTTCAAAAGGTATTTTCTTTTATTTGAATTGGCAGGTAATGCTGAATTAATTTTTAAGTGCCTTTCCACAACTCTGCGGAGATAAAAAGGATTGTTCAATATCAGATGTAAATTGATTCACCTCTTGCTTTTGCCTTTCTTTCGTGATCTTTTTGACATACTTCCTCCTTTTTCTTGTCGCTCGTGTTAGCTTTTTTATTTTTCATTCAATTTGTTTCAGCAATCCAATATTCTGGATGTTTCTTTCTAGATTTTTTCTGAACTATTGAATGCTTAACTTTGTTCATTTTAATTCTAAATTCTTTTAAGCAACTATCTTCAATCCAACTAAATTATACTCAAACTAATTAATCAGCAAATATGCGATTCAAACATTATAAAGCTAAAAAAACTAATTATCACACATGGATGTATATTTGTCCATGCGTGATATGTCTGCGTGATGCAAAAAAACAGTTGAAGCTAGTAAAATGGTCTTTGAAATAAATATAAAAACTAAACATAGTGGATGTCAAAAATAAACTAAATAAAAGCTCTAAAGAATAACCGACATTAAAATATTTTAAATAAGCCAATAATAAAAATTTCCCTTTTGTACTTCATACTTCACTTAAAACTTTTTTCTGCTCCTCAAATCCTAATATTGCTTGGTTCAACAACATTATCAGATTATTTTCAATTCCTTTTGTTTGCAGCTTTCTTTTTTCTTCTAGATAGTTTTTATATTTCAGCAAGGTGTTTCAAATAGCCTTTTCATTGTTGATTTCTACTTGCCTTTAATTTGTTGTGTATCATAAAATCTTTGATAGTCGACAAAAAGTAAGTAATTTTCCTTTCATGTTTTCAAACCAATTTTCAAACAATGAATTACTCAACCATTCTTCATTGAAATAAGTTACTATTTAAAATTGTATAAAGTTTTATTTATTTTAAAACAAAAAAGAATTTGGTTTAAAAAAACTTTGAAAGTCTTCACAAGTTGCAGCTTTATTTCTACACAAAAAAAGCACCTAATAAATTTATTTAGATTAAAAAATTGGTTTCCCTTGAATCTATATAAAATGTTTTGCATACATTTTTTATATGGTTTAAAATGTAAATACATTACCAGAATAAAAGCTAATTTTTTTTATAATGATCAAATATTAATTTATCTGAACAACCTTTTGAGCTATATAATTATTTAATTAGTAACCTAAAAAAGAAATTTATTTACTATAAATCTTTTTAAAACATTTAAGTAAAATAATATAAAATTTAAAAAATTCCCTGATTTTCATTGATTTTTAATTAAATCAATCTTTTTCCCATGATTTTTCCTGAAATTTCTAAATTTCCCTGATTTGGTGGCAACCCTGTATATATATATATATATATATATATATATATATATATATATATATACATATATAAGGATTTTAACATTTTAAGTTTTATTTTGTAATTTTAAAATTACCTACCTAATTAGAACTAATATAAACACTTGATATATACTGTTTTTTTGCTTTACGTTGACAAAAACTACCCCAGGACAAATCTTTAAATATTTTTATAGAAACATTATAAAAGTATGTAGAGTGGTATTTTTGAAGGTTTTTAGGATGGATGTAAGTAGGTGGCTTTTAACCTCAAACCTCTTGGTTGTGAGTCATTATTTTGAATGCACATACATTAATAAATTACACATATATCTAATTTTATTACACATTATCTAATTTTTACCAACATAGTTATAATATCTTTTCGTAGTTGATATATTGTATCTACATCATATCTTATATAAAAAGTCATATACAAAGAGAAATGTCAAAAAAAAATTTCAAATTTACAAATAACTGAAACTTCAAAAAACGACTATTTTAGTATAAAGCTATCAGTGATAGTTTGTGTTAAACTAAAGCTGCCTAGGTAATTTACGTGTGTGTGTGTGTTTTATATGTGTGAATATATTTAATAGAGCTTTTTCATTATAATTTTATGAGAAAAAAATTTGTTTTAAACCTTTTCATTGGTTATCATCAGATCATACTTTGACTTATTCAAATTTTCCTCCTCCATTTCTTCTTCACTTTCACTTTCATCTTTGAACACATTTTCTTGCCTGAACAATTATAATCATGGTAAATTTATAAATTCTAATTTTTAAACATTATTATCAAGTTATTTAAACTTTACAAAATGATAATAACTGTACAACAAATTTATCAGTGTAATAACAATATTTATATTATTATTGGCTGCCCTAAACTCTTGTCTTAACTTGTGGATCTTCTTGTTGTGCCCTAAACTCTCATTTTTTTTTTTTTTTTTTTAACATTTTCGCTTCCAACAAGGCTGCAAACAACCACTAATTAGTGTTGGAAGTTACTGGAAGAGAAAAGATGAAGATTGTAGGGCAAGATAACGATTGACAGATGACTTAAAAGATTGCAAATTATATGAATCAGGAAAGCAAGATGAAGGAAGCGAATTCCAAAGAACTGATGTTCGAGGAAAAACACTAGACGAATAAGAGTTTTTGGAGCACTTAGGAACAGTAACAAAAAAAGGATGAGACTTAATTGAATGACGAGTAACACGAGAATGAATTTTAGTAGATGTCACAAGAGACGCTAGCTCTTTAGAGCAGTGCCCATTATAGTATTTGTAGAAAAGAGAAAGAGAAGCAACATTACGACAATGTGACAGAGGTTGAAGGTTGGCTGCAAGAGCAGGTCCAACTATGTTTACAATGCCTTTTTGCACCTTGTCTAAAAGAGAAAGGGCATCATTAGAAGATCCGCCCCAGATATGGCAACAGTATTCCATACAAGGATGGATTTGAGATTTGTAGAGATAGAGAATAGAACCCAGTGTAAGAAAGTGACAAGCTCGATAAAGAGAAGCGACTTTAGCAGATGCTAATTTTGCAACGGATTTGATATAAGGTTTCCAAGAAAGATCAGAAGTAAGAGTTAATCCTAGAAGATGAAGGGTAGGAGACTCATCAAGTACATTACCGTTTATAAATGTAGGAAGGTCTATAGATTTTTTCAATTTTTTTCAGCCAATCTAAATATAGATTGGCTGAAAAAAATTGAGTTTTATCTGAATTAAAGTTCACCAGCCACTGTGAGCCCCATGCTGTAGCAGAAGTGAGATCCTTTTCAAGCTCAGATGCCCCCTGCAAGCAATCAGAGGGAGTTGGCTTCTTATCATGACAAGAATAAATGGTAATATCGTCAGCAAACAATGCCACCTTAGATGTGAGAATATCTGCAAGATCGCTAATGTAAATTAAAGAGTATAGCGCCAAGGATTGAACCTTGAGGAACCCCTGAGGTTACAGAATAAGAAGAAGAGTGCTGTCCATTAAGGACAACTTTTATACTACAATTGGAAAGGAAGGATTCAATAATCTTAAAGATGTTTCCAGATACACCGTAAGAAGAAAGCTTATGGAGAAGACCAGCATGCCAAACTTTATCAAACGCTTTAGAAATGTCAAGAGCGATGGCCTTAACCTCTCCACCTTTATCTAATGCGCGATAAAACCTATCGGTTATTACTGATAGCAATTTAGCCGTAGATCCATATTGATGGTCAGAAAGTAGGTTATGAGATTCGAGATGAGAGATTCAGTGTTTGTTAATTAAAGATTCAAAAACCTTGCTTATGATAGGAAGAAGACTAATGGGACGGTAGTTAGACAAATCGGATCGCTCTCAAGAATTTTTAAAAATAGGGATAACAGATGCTGCTTTCCAGCAGGCAAGAATCTGATAAGCACTTATTAAATAGTTTTAAAAGGATAGACGACAGTTCTGGAGAACACTTCTGCAAGACTATAACAGGTATGTTGTCTGGGCCGCAAGCTGTAGAAGAGTCTAAGCAGGAAATCACTTTAGATACAGAAGCTGGAGTGATACGGATGTCGAGCAGTGGATCAACCTGTTTGACGGCTATATCAGGTAGAACGCAACTAGTGGAATCAAGAGATGATATTGATGAAAAGTTCTTGGCAAACAATTCAGCTTTGTCTTTAGGTGAGATGACAAAGTCTGAACCGTACTAAAGAGGTGGAATTACAGACTTGTACTTATTATTGATACTGTTAAAGATTCTCCAGAAGACACGAGAGCCTAATTTTTGTGATGAAATACGAGATTTCATGATCTGAGAATAGCGGGCTTTGGCGTTAGATAAACCTTTTTACAATGGTTCCTAGCAATAATAAACAGACATCTGTTTTCTGGAGAATTGTTTTGCTGATAGATATGGAAGTAATGGTTTCTATTGGTAATTGCAGCAGCACAATGTGAGGAAAACTATGCAGAAGAGTGAGGCTTGACCTGGAATCGTCGAGAGGGAATAAAGGATTCCAAGCCAGCCTGAATCCATGAAGTTATGTAAAAAGCACATTTGTCAACAGGAAGACGAAAGATTTCTACCCAGGGGCCATCACAAAGAAAATCACGGAAAGAGTCCCAGTCAGCTTTAAGATAGTTGTAAGATGTACAATGATAGGGGGATTCTGATGGTAAAGAAGAATGAGATAATAGTTTTAGAGAGACCAAACCATGATCAGAAGCACCTAAGGGTGCCTTGTAATTGTAAGCGACAATTTATTTATAAGGGTGCTTTGTAATTGTAAGCGTAATTATAAGGGTGCTTATAATTATAGGCGTAATTATAATTATAAGGCGTAATTATAATTATAAGCGTAATTATAAGGGTGCTTATAATTATAGGCGTAATTATAAGCTTAATTATAAGTGTAATTATAATTATAAGCTTAATTATAAGCGTAATTATAAGGACGCTTTGTAATTGTAAGCCACAATTTATTTATTTAATTTTAAATAAATTTAAAATTTATTTAAAATTAAAATAATAAATTTATGAAACAATTTATTTTGATATAGTATGACTTGTAAGATTGTAATGCTTGTTTTGCTAACAATAAAAAATTGTAAAACTTGGTAAATATACATTTTTATTAACTAACTTTTAAGTGACAATTTAACTTGTGGGTTGTGAGATAAGATGTAAAATAAACAAATATACATGTTATTTAGTTAACTCATACTCATGACTTCATTGTACTATAGCAGTGTCTTAAAGCATTATAATATGTAAGCTACATATTTATGAACAGTACAATATTATATTACTTTCTTATAAAACCATCTAATATTATATAAAAGTCTTGTTAACTTGCTAACACAACCTTTAATATTTTTGTAGAATAATCAAGACAAATTGGATAAATATTAATATATAAAATTGAAAAAATTAACATTTTATTATTATCTTATCAGAATGGTTTTACATAAGATAAAAGTTATACAATCAATCTGTTTTAATATATGGATATAGTATAGAGAGGTGTTGCAAATGGTGAATCATTTGATACTTTTATTTCACATTTGATAAAGTGTTACACAGAAGATTAGTAACAAATCTTGAAGCTTATGACATTACATCTACAATATTGAAATGGATACATTCTTTTTTTAACTGGTAAAACAAGTTGAGTAAAAGGTTGTGAAAGCAACAAGTTAAAGTAATCTAAATATTAATAAAAATGACATCTTTATTTGTAAAACTAAAGATAACCATTGTAAATTAAGTACTATTTTAAAATAGAGAAAAAAAATCAATTGTAAGCGACAATTTATTTAATTTTAAATAAATTTAAAATTTATTTAAAATAAAATAATAAATTTATGAAACAATTTATTTTGATATTGTATGACTTGTAAGATTGTAATGCTTGTTTTGCTAACAATAAATTGTAAAACTTGATAAATATATTTTTATTAACTAACTTTTAAGTGACAATTTAAATAGATGAATAAATAAAATGCAATGATATTTACAAGTTTTACAAAATGTAATGATATATTACAAGTATAATCAAACTATTCAATGATACATTTTTTTTATTTTTTTTTTTAATTATCAAATTTATGATTTTTTTCAAAAAATAAAACAAAACAACAACCAGCAAATTAATCTGGTCTAACAAGTGTTTACAATGGTTATGTCACTGTTTGGTCAGACTAATCTATTTTTAAAACTTATGCCTGTATTTTTTATTCTGATTAAGCCCCAACAAGGCTGCAAGCAATTACTATTTAAGTTGGAAATTACCAAAAAATAATAGAATACTATCGAAGAGAAAGAAAACAGTTAATAGAAAGCTTTAAAAACAGTGAATTGTATTAGTTTCAGAAAAATAAAATGAGAGAGTTACAAAGCATTGATATGCCAGAAAAGCAAATAGATAAATAAAAGTTTTTAGAGCATGTAGGGAAAGATACGGTAATAGGATGCAGTTTAGCTGAATAATGAGTCAAGCAAGAATAAGTTTAGGTTGAGATGATAGCTGATTAGAGCAATGACCATTATAGTATTTGTATAAGTGAGAATTCCATGAGGGACCTTAGCAGATGCTAGCTTTGTAATGGATTGCATGTAAGATTTTCTATGAGTGTAATGGATTGCATATAAGATTTTCTATGAGTGTAATGGATTACATATAAGATTTTCTATGAGTGGAATGGATTGCATATAAGATTTTCTATGAGTGTAATGGATTATATAAGATTTTCTATGAGTGTAATGGATTGCATATAAGATTTTCTATGAGTGTAATGGATTGCATATAAGATTTTCTATGAGTGTAATGGATTATATATAAGATTTTCTATGAGTGCAATGGATTGCATATAAGATTTTCTATGAGTGTAATGGATTACATATAAGATTTTCTATGAGTGTAATGGATTGCATATAAGATTTTCTATGAGTGTAATGGATTGCATATATAATTTTCTATGAGTAGTGAATCAACCAAGAAGACATAAAGTAGAGGACTCAATGAGAGTGCTGCCATTCATCAATATAGGAATATAAAATATATATATAAAATGAGTGTTGACTTTCAAGGATTACTTTAATACTACAGTTAGAAAAAAATGATTTAACAATCTCAAAACATTCCTGGATACACCATATGAAGCAACCTATGAAGAGGAGCAGGATGCTAGACTTAATTGAAAGCCTTGATATGTCAAGAGCATTAGTACATGCCTTGCCATCTCTAATGGCCTTGCCTCACAAACATCTAATGCAAGATAGAACCTTTCTGTTGTAACAGTTAACAAGTCAGCCGTAAAGCCTGAGGATCAAAACTATTGTATTGATTGTCAGAGAATAAGTTATTAGGCTCAGGATGAAAACTTGTTAATTTAATGACTCGCCTTGCTAATAATAGAGAAGACTGATTGGATAGTTAGGTGATAGATAGATAGGTCAGAGTGTTTCCAGAGTTTTTAAAAACTAGAGCCACAAATATTCATACATGTAGTATTTAAAATAAGTAAGTTATGAGAGTCTCAGAATTTTTTTTTTTTTTTTACAGTAAATGTTGTTTTTTCCTTTAATTCACTTTTTTTTAATATGTCCTTATTTTAAAAAAGATATATTAGATAATATTTATAAACAAGAATCAAAATCAGTACCTGAATTGCAACATTTATTGTTAGATGGATTATAGAGTGAAAAAAAATTGACATCTTTAAAATAACAAAAAATGCAAGTCAATCTCACACGTATAAATGTAAAAATCTATAAATGGTATCAAAACACTGAGAAAATAAGTTAAAAAATACACTGCATCATTTGAGATTAAATTTTTTAGACTCATCTTCAAATATATAATGACAAACTTTTATTCACTGATTAAAATATACACATTTATTTTATAGACTTGGTCTGTAAAAGATTGAACAAGGCAATAAATTTGAACAGTTTTGTTTTACTGTTTTATTAATATCTAATTTAAGGAGAGAGTAGAAGGAGCTTTAATAACCTTTATAATCTTTCATGTAACTGCAACACTGAGCTAAAATTTTTTTACTTTTTTTAATTTGTCATGATGACAAAAAAAAAACAATTAAAAAAAAATGTTTAATGACTATTAAGAAAATACTTTTTCAGCTTTCAAATCCAGCTCCATTTTCTGATAAAAATCTTTAACTCCTACAAGTAAAATCCCTGTAGGAATAAAAGTTTTTACAACAGTATCTCCATAGTTATTAACTTTGGCCTTGTTAAATTATAAACTAATAACATACTCAGGGTGTTAGCCAGCCTGATGGCACCGGGTATAATGCGGTATTTTATTATTTTTTATTAATTGGTTTAAATTCCCAAAGGTTCATAAGATCATAGTTAAAAAAAAATTAAATCATCTCAAAAAAAAATTAAATCAAATGTGAAATTTATCTGCTTTTTTAAATGTCAGAATGCAAAGACCTTTTTTTTTTATATTTTTTTAAGCTGCACCTAAATTCCCCATTTCGCAAAAAAGCTGTATGACATTTTTTCCTGGCTAACACCCTGATACTTATGCAATAAAATTACATTGTTAAAAAAAAATTAAATCATCTCAAAAAAAAATTAAATCAAATGTGAAATTTATCTGCTTTTTTAAATGTCAGAATGCAAAGACCTTTTTTTTTTATATTTTTTTAAGCTGCACCTAAATTTCCCATTTCGCAAAAAAGCTGTATGATATTTTTTCCTGGCTAACACCCTGATACTTATGCAATAAAATTACATTGTTAATAATAAAATCAAAATAATCTTCAATAAAAAATTGAATACCTCACATCAACCTCAGTTAGTTTGCGTTGAAGTTTAGCTTGACGAGCTTTTTCTTTTTCAACTTCTAAATACTGTGACAGCTCAACCCCTTCCAATCTCACGCGTTTGAACACCTAAACACAATGGTTACATGACAACAATAAGAAATGAAAACTTGATAAAAAATGACTTCTGAATAAAGAATAAAGCTATGTGAAAGATACAACCAAACTAACAAACAAAAAAACATCAAACCTCTAGTTCTACGGATTCGATTTTTGGATTATCGATTAAAGTTCGTGCCAAGCTTCCAGGAGAGGTTTTAAATGTAAATATTACACTATTCTTTGGATTCGAGGCCCATTGTACAAAAAGATCTTTTGAAAAACCACAGTTCATGTCAGCAGCACTTGCTAACACAACCTTTAATATTTTTGTAGAATGATCAAGACAAATTGGATAATCAAGAAAAATAGGTAAAAAAACAACAACAAAACATAAAAATTAATAAATAATAACTTAATAAACAATATAAAACTTAATAAAATAAAGTAAAACATTACTTATACCTTAGGAGAAGGTAATTGGTCTAACTCTTTAAGGAAATGACATAAAGTTATATGCCTGTAAAAATTAAAAAAATATGAATAAAAAATATAAAAAATTAAAATAAGTATATCTTTTATACTTTTACGTTTAATATAGAAAATAAAAATACAGTAAATTCCTGTTAACTTAAACTTCCAAGGGACCAAGGAAAATGATTCGACTAAACAAATGTTTGACTTAAGCAAATTAAAAGAATTTTACTGCTTTTAAAGGAGTATAGAAATTAGTTTGAGATAATAAAAGTTCGAGTTAACCAACTTACTGAGAATTACCTGTTATTTTTTTTAAAAAAAGACTGGATTTAACTAGGCTATGGTCATTTGTTAATATATTCATGCATATTTTATATCAATACAAAATAAATCTTACTTGAAAGCAAAAGGATTTCTACGATCAACTTCAAAACTTTTCATCATCCTATCGCTCATCCACTCCACCTTACAAAAAGTTTCAAATATAAAAACTAAACAACAAAATATCAAAAGTTTTTAAAAGAAATACATACTTGACTTTTGGCAAATTCAACAACATTATAACTGACGTTGTTAAGAAGAGCCAACGAATAAACTGACAAACCAGATTCTTTAGCGCTCCACATTTGATCCTAAAAAACATCAAGACTGCTTCAAACATTAAGATTGTTAACAAAACTCTTTCTTTAAGAAGTTCATTTATTTTCTCTTAAAACTTTTCTTTTAGATAAGTCTTTGAAGAAGTTATTAGAAATAAATGTTTCAATCACTTCCTGAGTATTAAAACAATTAATTTGTCTTAAAAAATCATTCATTTTAGCATCACTTATAAAGAGTTCAATAGTTGTTATTACAACTGCTAATGGGAATCAAAATTTGTGCTATTTAATGTCTAAATTTATTTTAAATGGCATTGAGATCATTATGTGTGTCATTATTTTATAAAAAATCACCTTGATTTTTTATAAAATAATGACACACATGCATATATAGTCTTCTGCAAAACTAAATATTGCATGCTCAGTGAAAAGCTAAAACAGACTTGAAGGCAAGTAAATATTGTATGGGCAGCAAATAACTAAAACAGAAAAAGTCTATGCAAATGCCTATTGTCAGGGCAAAAAACTATTAAGGTTGGCGGCCAAGGCAAGCTGCCAACTTTAATAG